GGTTGGGTCCTTTTCCTCTGGTTTTTTCTTCCGGCGGCCTGGTTGGTGGAGTGCTGCCAAACACTTCGGTCCCGTTCAGTTTTGCTAGTTTTTCCGGTAATAATCCTTTACGTAGTACCGTCGAAGATCTGTGCTACCTCTCTACTCGGGACTTGCCAAGTGAGTGCTCCACCGCCGTATCGGCCCTGTGGCTTTCTACGATTTGGTGCATATTCGTATAACCTCTCTATTACACAAAGACCCCAAAATCTTCCAGTTCCAACGAATTGGTATGACCACAGTTACAGGGTCTTGAGTTTTCCCGGCCACGGCGTTAGTTACCAAATCCGTTTTTCGAAATTCAATTTTCGTCTCCAGTGGGAATTGAACTTGTACTCAACCGCTTGAGGGTGCGACAACTTCACCACTTCGCTAAGTCGCCACACCCTAGGAAGATCTTTTTTACTATAATCTACTTTTTTTATTAAACTTAGTATTTTGTCAAGTTCTGAGTTAATTATACTGTTAAAATCTTTTATTACTATTATTTGCAATCTAAAGAACCTGTTAATATATTTTTTAATAATATTTTGCAAGCTATTTATTTTTGATAATTGCTATTTGTATACTATGTATACATACACGTATCATGTGATCAACTAAATTTATATATATTTATTATATAATCAAAAATCATATGATCAAATATATAAATACTATATAAATAACTTACTTTTAGCACTAACTCTAATGTACGTATAAATATTATACTTCTTTTTTTATCTATAATATGCTTCTGTGATATAAAGTAAATACAATATAACCTCTATATATGCTTGCCTTACTATATCTATATATGTACTCTCTTTATAATTGCACCCTATTGATGTATTTGAATTCTTTGGTCTTAACTAAAATAATCCTAACAACACTTATAAAAAATACACTCACTACTGTAAATCAATTAATATTCTCTCATTATAACTGAGTGTTTTACAACTTTCAACTCACCTAGTTAGTAGTAGCAGTAGCACTATACATTATACAACTATTATTTATTTTGCTTTGATATACCATGCTATTTGTTTTTGGTCTTAAGTGCTTTATAAATCTGATTTATTTGCAACAGCTATAAAATGGAATTAATTAACAATCTAGCATATAGTAAACTAAAAAAAATAGTGCAGTAAAAATATACACTCTTCCAAATTAAATACTTTCTTATGCTTTATTTTTGACTATATTACAAGATATAGTTTATAAAACAATCAAATAAATAAAGTATAATTATATTCTAAATTTCTAATTGAAATATACTATACAATTTTATTCTGCTTTATCTATACAATCAATAACACAACTCTTATAAAAAATCAATGAAGAAGCTTAACAAATCTATGCCTAACATTTCTTAGAGTAATAACTATATTGCTTGCACTTCCTATATATATAGCTTTTTTTATAATTCATATGTCTATTATTGACATTTTCTATTACATTTAAATTTCATTATTGTTAGTTGTGTTGATAGTTGCATTATTTTTTAACAACTGTTTACTTTTAAAAGATTTATATTCAACACTAAGATTCTAATCTTTTAGGTGGTTGACCTTTATGCTTAAAGATCTTGAGATTATTAATACCAAATTGAGTAGGTTATGGCATGATTCCCCGAAAACCATTTACTCGACAGGACATTTACCCAACATCACACAGGTGACAAATTGCTAAAAATATATACCTACAGCTAATTAAATGCTAAACCTAATCTATGTAATATCAGATAAATGTCCTGTTAGATAAATGGCTTTTGGGGAATTAAGCAACAACCATTGAGTATCATTGTTAATAATTTGTTGATCTTTGTTTTGCACATCATATAAAAATAATTTAAGCATGTCTAATAGCTCCCACAACATATTAGACTTGATAGCCAAATCAATAGTCTTTTTTGATAGCCCAAACAATTCAGTATAAATAGCTTTGTTAGATTTGGTTATTAAATCAGAATTATCATTATGTGATATTGACCAAACAGAGAAAAAATACTTGAATATAATGTTAGATAGACTCTCTTCTGAACTGAGTATATATCTAATGACTGGTGTTTGTTCTTGAAACATTTTTTGACTTATATTTGGTTTCAGATACCACTAAGATGAAATATGAACTATATGAAAGATGGTAGCTTGTGAATAAGTAAAAACACAAAAAAAATGCTGACACAATAATCCTTTGTTCAATAATAAGAGACATGTACACATATATATATTATCATTTAATAGTATTATATAATATCCAATACCTGTTCTTTCTGTAGTGCAGATATTCCATACTTCTAAAACATCTTCATAATTAATATTTCTGATAAATACTTAAAAAAAACTTGACGAATGTCTTGTCTTGTTCATGAAGTCCAATATTAACCTCTTCAATATCATCATCAAACTATAATAAAACAAATTGTAAATATAGATGTCTATATCAAATTTAAAAAAAATTTATATCGACTTCTTTTACTAAACTTTGCTATTCTATAATTTGAGTTATATCGTAGCAAACTGATTGATTCATTTGTAAATACTGCTTAGCTAGCATGATAGGTATCAAAACTTCTTAATTACATTATCCACCTTTTTAAAAAGCCAAATATTTAATACTGGCAATCTAACTATTGGTAATGTACTACGATCAACTTCAAATTTTTCAAAACATTTCTCACTCTTAATATATTAGTTAGTAAGTTATATAAAAAAGTAGCCTGATCAATCCTATTATATATTTGTTTGTTAATTGACTCTATTCTCTGTATGCTTTGGGCATTAGCTGTAAATTAATTATGTATTCAAAGTATACCCATGACTCCTTATTAATATAAAGAGTTTCTGATAAATATTTAGTTGTTTCAAGATATTGATTGACCAAATTACATCATCGAGTTTCAAACAAATCATTATATAAAAAATTTTGACAAATATAAATTTTTGCCAAAATTCTTTAAAGCGAGACTTCAATTTGTATTTAAGTTTTTTACAAAGATTCATGTTAATGTGAAAAATATAGCAAATGGTTCGTATTAGAATGTATTTCTTTAATTGCACTAATTATTGATGGATCAAAATCAGTAAATATGACTTTAGAATAGATATTTGTCTCTTCTAACAGTGTAACAAAAATCTACTAAAATATATCTAAAGTTTTATCATTAACAAAAGCTGAAGTAACAATCCTCAATCTAAAATAGTTATCAACAACAATAATAATACAGAGCATCATTTAAAAATGGTTTGTATTTGATATAGTATCAATAATAATGATATTATGAAACTTTTCATATAAAGATCATTGTGAGGGCGATATCCACAATAATCTATTTAATCTTCTAGATACCGGCTCTAAGTATAGTTTAACTATCTATAAAGAGTCTAATTCCTTTCAATTTGGAATATCTGAGATACATCTGAGTTACCTAGATTGTTTTTGGCATGAAATTTATATATCATATTATACAGATTTTTTTTAAAGATAGGATTGTTTGGATAGTCATAGCTAAATAAAAAATAAATAAAACTAAAATTTATTTAACCTTGTATTACATATTTTTCTATATTGAATAACATTTCTGGTATCAATTTTCTAAATTTTGGAGCTGTTTCATATATTGTTAGGATAAGTGCATGGTTATGTTTATTCTTAAATGAATTGATTTTCAATATATTACTTATTTTTGAGCAGGTAAAATTAACCCTCCAAGAATATTCATTATGCTATAAAAGTATATTTCATTGTTTGGTAGAATCACATGTTACCTGTGAGTTATATATGCCTGATCTTGAACACTCAAATATAACTTACTATATTACTTTGTCATCCTTCTGACTTGTCTTAATCTTATAATTAAACCCCTTTTTCTTGAAATAATTGTCCATCCAAGCCTTATATTCTTTCCAGTTTGTAAAGGTAAGCCCAATATTCAATTCTAAAGTATTATTTTGATCCTTACTTTTATCTGAATTTTTACTAAAAGTCTCTGCAATAATTTTACTATCAAAATTTTCTTCTTGCCTAATATTGACTGAAAGCTAACAATCATTACTAAAATTGGTCTTTAAACTATTCAGAATTAATGTTAACATTAATTAACAAATCTAAAAAAGATAACAAACACAATATATACACAATATCGATTTTACAAAAGGTAAAGAAAAATTACTTAAAGAAATTATATTAGCTAGCTCTAGAAGGAGTATAATTTGAGATGGTCTTGATAAAAATGAATACTATAAAGAATCTAAAATTATAAAGCTTTAGTAGTAAGCAATAAAAGTCTTTTAAATAACCACCTATTTGTACTAAAAAGAATATTCTAGACATGTATATCCATAGAATTTGCTATATCAGCTAGTCTTAAAAGTAGTATAAGCACAAAGTTTTGTAATAGTTCTGGTAAAAATCAATACTATGAATATAAAATTATAGTATCTTAGTAATAGAAAATAAAAAGCCTTTTAATCGTTCTGGATCTATATAAGCATATACATTTATGATACTTGCTATGTCAGCTAGCTTTGAAAGTAGTATAAGTATAAGGTCTTGTAATAGTTTAGTGAAAAAGAATACTATGATAAATATAAAAGCATAAAGCTTTAATATTTTGCAACAAAAGGTCTTTTAATAACAATTGTAGTGTATACTTATAATGATTATTATATTTGTATAATCAAGACTTTCTAAATCTATAGAGGCATGTATGTTTGTGATACTTGTATATTAATGCTTAACTATCAGATATTTAAGATTCTTGCAACAATTAATTATCAAGTTTGTAAAAGCAAAAGAAAAAAATTAATGTTTGTTTATTGTTTCTTAAGATTGCATATAATTATATCATTGTATCAATCATATATACAAATTACTACATTGTCTATCAGAGCTTTAATATCTATATAATATCTATAAAATGAGTCTAAGTAACTCACTTTGTAAGCACATGTTGTATAATATAAAGATGTTATTTGTAGTAATCGATCTGTAGTTATTGTTATACAATTATATATTTATTTGTATATTCATGTCATACATATATATATATAGTATACACTTAGAAATTTTCTTTATTTTTTTGCTTATTATTTGATAATATATAAAATATTATTATTATAATTTTTAGTTATTTAAATATTAATTTAACTAAGATTATATATTAGCTTATTTTGTCTATTTGCTCTATAAATTTTTTTTACTATTTGCTTATCAGTAAAAGAAGTACTGTTTATTAGCTGATTTTTTAGAAGTGGGGGTAAAAAAAGTTAAAATTATATATAAGAATTTGATATTTTTATATATTAAAGAGGGTAGGAGGAGTAAGCTCTTGATTATACATATTACCAAAATAGGTTTTCAAAAAAAATCCTATTTCATCTTTATTAGAATATTTTAGAATTTTTTATATACGAAAGCAAATCTAATTTAGATAGTTATATTCTTTATAATTTTGTTTCTTCAAAAAAAATATCAAAAAATTTCATCTTTTAAGTAAAATAGATCAAAAACAATTTCATCTTCAAATTTTAATTTGTATTCTGAAATCTAAAATAATTTTATTAGCATGTATACTCTTAATAAAAAAAATTAAGTGATAAATGGCCCTGTTCTAAATCAATTTTAAAGCCTTTTTTCTTGTTTTGATTTAAACTTGTCTAAAAACTTTTGTAGTTTATTTATTTTTTAATTAGAGATATAACAAAAATCAAATAATTTTTTAGAAGAGAAAGTGAGTAAAAAAATTAAAATTATATATAAGATCTAATTTTTTATATATTAAAAAAGAAAGAGAAGAGTAAGCTTTTAATAAAAAATAATTAGATGATAAATGACACTGCTCTTATTTATTTTTTTTATACTTAAAATATTTGTTTTTATAACTTCTAAAATATATATTTTTTTTTTTTAGTTTTAAGGTGACCTCTTGGTCGATTCTCTTTATTCAGTTATTAGTCAAGTTTTACCGTACGCT